CAACAAAATCCTGGGAATCTGTAGAAGGGTTATAATTTGTATTCATTTTATTGGTGATTTCCGCAACTACAAATGATTTACATTAAGAAACAATGAAAAATATCACTGTTTCTGGTTTGGTTTTTAGTTAAATTTAACTGAGAGAGCCACATTCAAGTTTGCTGTAAAATTGTTTCTTTGTTCCAAGCAAATGAGCACATAAAGGAGAATATATCAGGCTAAGAAGGGCACTGGATGAAAGTTTGTTGCAGCAAAGCCCTGGCCCTTCTTTGGTGGACTGAAGGGACACAGAACTATATGCACTGGTAGCACACAACATTCTTTCATTTTTGATTCATATATTTCAGTTCAATTCAAACAATACTTGTTCTGCAGTGGAAAAAATATAATAATAAATTGTTCTTTGAGTAATTGTATCTTTTTGTAAAATAGCTGAAGAATCAAACAGAACATCAAACTCCAGAATCTGTATAATTGTTTCTCAAAGAAATGGTGCTTGATTCAACATGGGTCTCTTGCACATAATGCAAAGGAAGACACAATGGAAGCAACAAGACAATGCATGCAACATTGTATTAAAAAAAAAAAAAAAAAAAAAAAAATAATGGTTGTTCACTTCTGGAGCTCCCAACCCAAGAAGGACATGGAGCTGTAGAAGTTGGTCCAGAGGAGGGTCACGAAGATGACCAGAGAGCCAGAACACCTTCACTACAAGGACAGGCTGATGGAATTCTGGTCATGAGCGGTGTCCTCCAGGGCTCAGTACTGGGGCCACTTCTATTTCTTAATGATCTTGATGAGGGGATTGAGTGTACTCTCGTTAGGGTGGAAATGACACCAAGTTGGGAGGGGGTGTTGATCTGCCTGAGGGGAGAAAGGCACTACAGAAGGACCTGGATAGACTGGATCGATGGGCCAAGGTTAACTGTGTTAGTTTCAATAGGGCCAAATGTTGGGTACTGTATTTCGGACGTAACAACTCCAGGCAACCCTACAGGCTTGGGGAGGAGTGGCTGGAAACCTGTCTAATGATAAGGGACCTTAGTGTACTGATGGACAGTAGTCTGAATATGAGCCAGCAGTGTGCCCAGGTGGCCAAGAAGGCCAGTGGCATCCTGGCTTGTATCAGGAATGGTGAACAGGTGAACAGGACTAAGGAAGTCATCCTGCCCCTGTACTCGGCACTGGTGAGGTCCCATCTCGAGTACTGTGTTCAGTTTTGGCACCAGTACAGAAATGGAGAGATGCTGGAGCAGGCCCAAAGAAGGGGAATAAGACTTGTGAAGGGCTTGGAGAATATGCCTTACGAGTAAAGACTGAAGGAACTGGGGCTGTTTAGTCTGGTGGAGACTGAGGGGAGACCTTACTGCTCTCTTCAAATACCTGAAAGGTGATTGCAGTGAGAGCTGGATTGGTCTCTTCTCACTGGTGACAGAACAAGGGGGAATGGCCTCAAGTTGAACCAAAGGAGGTTTAGTTTGGATATTAGAATAAACTTCTTTACAGAAAGGGTGATTAATCACTGGAATGGTGACCAGGGAGGTGGTTGAGTCACCATCCATGGGTGTTTTTAAAACTGTTTGGATGTGGTGCTCAGGGATGTGAATTAGTGGAGGGTTGTTAAAGTTAGGGTTTGGAGTTTTGCCTGCACAGGACCTTGAAATTAACTTTTCTGTGAGCAGACACCAAAAATATTCCATGGGATATTCTCAACAGCCATCAAAGACTGAAATCCTGAACTGGGATGAATGCAGTTCTCTGGAGTTAGTGATTGTAACTGCCCAACTCTGTGATCAGGTACAGAAGGAAACACAGAAGGTCACATCCATTGCGGTTTCAACCTTCAGCTCTAGTTGTTGCTTTCCAAGTTTTTTTTGTTTGTTTGTTTTGGTTTTTTTTTTTTCTTTTTTCTTTTTTAAGTAATGTAGTACTTACCTTAGAATAAATTATTTACAAAAGAAAGCAAACTTTTTTTTTTAATCGTAGAATCACCAAGGTTGGTTCCCACAGAGGCACATAAGACTTGTGCTCCACACACCTCACCAGCTTCATTGCTCTTTTCTGGACACACTCCAAGGCCTCAATGTCTTTCCTGTAGCGAGGAGCCCAAAACTGAACACAGTACTGAAAGAGTGGCCTCACCAGTGCTGAGTACAGAGGGATGATCACCTCCCTGCTCCTGCTAGCCATTGGTCTTCTTGGCCACCTGGGCACTCTGCTGGCTCATGTTCCAAGTGTCAAGTGTCAACCAGTATCCTCAGGGCCATTTCCTCTACACAGTCTTCCAGCCATGCTGCCCCAAGCCTATAAGTTTGCCTGGGGTTGTTGTGGCCAAAGTGCAGGACCTGGTCCTTAGTCTTGTTAAACCTCATCCCACTGGCCTCAGCCCAGCTATCTAGCCTGTCCAGATCCCTCTGCAGGGCCTTCCTACTCTCAGGAAGATTGACACTTCCTCCCATCTTGATGCCATCTGCAAACTTACCAAGGGTGCACTCGATGACTTCATCCAGGTCATCAATAAAGATACTGAACAGGACAGGCCCCCAGTACCCACCCCTGGGGAACACCACTTGTGACCAGTCACCAGCTGGATTTAATTCCATTCACCACCCGGTCCACCAGCCAAATTTTTACCCAGCAAAGAGTGCATCTATCCAAGCCACGGGCTGCCAGCTTCTGTAAGAGAATACTGTGGGAGACAATGCCAAAGGTTTGGTGAATTCTAGATAGAATATATCAGCAGCCTTTCTGTCATCCATCAGGCAGGTCACTCAATTATAGGAGATCAGGTTGGTCAAGCAGGACCTGCCTTTCTTGGACTCATGCTGGCTGGGCCTAATCCGCCAGTTTTCCCGCATGTTCCTTGTGAGTTCACTCAAGATTATCTGCTCCATAGCTTTTCCTGGCACTGAGGTTAGGCTGATGGGCCAACAGTTACCCATAAATGTACCCAGATCTTCCTTACACCTCCTCTTGTAGATGGGAGTCATGTTGGCAAGTATGTTCTTCCTCAGTATACTTTCATATAGTGTTATAAGTATATAACCTATATGGGTGATGAGTTATTTTAAACTACATTTATATTTTTCCTTCAAATATAAATTGAGGGAAAATGGATTTTTAATTGCAGTGAGTACAGAGAGAAAATTAATTTCAAGTATTTTATGTAAGTAAGTGGACACACTGCTATAGAGAAAAATAAAACATTGCCACCTATAGAGGTTTCGGCATCCATCTACTTTAAATTTAATGCACTGGATTGATTTTCAGATTAAATCAAATTCAATTCTGTGGAGTAACGCCTGGTACAAAAGCTTACTTTAACAGACATGAATTACTGTTCACATGTCAGGACTCATTCAGTAGCAGTGTCTGGCACATTAAATATCTCAATTTATTTTGTGGACACCATGCAGAGCAGGGTCCCATTCAGGAAAAGTCCTGGTAGTAGAGTCCACTAATAATAAGTATTGTTTCAGTGAATTCCTATCACTTCTGACAAAATATTAAATATGGAACCAAAATATTAAATATGGACCCAGAGGAAGCCAAGAAACTGCTCAGGGGGCTGGAGCTCTCTTATGAAGAAAGGATAATGGAGATGGGCTTGTTAAGCCCAGCAAAGAGGAAGCTTCAGGGAGACTTCATTGTGTCCTTTGAGTATTTAAACAGAGTTTATAAAGAGAAGAGAAATCTTTTTACACAAGCAGATGTGATAGGACAAGGGGGAAAGGTTTTAATCTCAAAAAAGGGAGACTTATGTTAGGCATTAGGAAGAAGTTCTTTACTGAGTGCGGTGAGGCACTGGCACAGGCTGCCCAGAGAAGCTGTGGTACACCATTCCTGGAAGTGTCCAAGACCAAGCTGGATGGGGTACAAGACAGCCTGAACAGTTGGAGGACAACCATCCCATGGCAGAGATTGGAACTGGATTGGCGTTAATACCTCTTCCAACTCAAGCTTTTCTATGACTCAATGATTATTAGCATAAGCTTCTTTTAGGATAGTTGAGGAAGTAGGCACTCTTGAAAGTGATCTTTCATTTTTAATGTACAGTGATAAATTGTAAAATAACTCCACAAAGACTTCAGATTTGCTTCCTATGAATGTGCAGAATGATTGCTGCTCAGTTCTGTGGTTAAGCAATTGGTTATGATGTTTCACTGAGCTAAAACAATATTAGGAATTTGATAAAAATTTTGGACTATTTTGATTTAAGTTATAAGCGATAAAACAGGACTGACCAATTCACTTCTAAGACTAATTTATGTGCAAGTCAGACAACAAATTTTGAGTATTCAGAGAAGTCAGAAAAAGCCACAGTGTCAATGAAGAAAACTTCATGTCCGTTCCTACAAGTTTTTAAGACTCTTGAAACTTCTTATGTCCTCTGGGACAAGTTTCATGTATATTAAGTATATTATTTTATATTGTATAGGTATATCAGGTATATTAGTTTTTTCTTCAGGACAGTAATTTGGAGGTTATAAGCAAAAACAGTACCTACAAAAATCGTAACTGCCAGACTTACAAAACTGTGTTCAAAGAACCTACATTTTAGTGACTGATACTTTTAGCCATTTTTATGACCAGGCTAAAGTTGTTCCACTGAAGATTCTGAATTTACCTGTAAAATAATCATAGGTCCCAATTGTTTAACTGCTACTGGTAGTGAATTAAGTAAACCCCTAGAACAGAATATTGTTCATACAAACTGGAGTGTGACAGCAGCCTTCTTTCCTATTTTAATACCTGAAATCGAAATAAAAGCTGATTGGCTTCTTGCTTCTCCTCTGTGAGTGCTACTAAGAGTAATGTGCATTTCAGAACTAATGATAACTTTATTCATTGTGTGCATGCACAAAGACCCCAAATCTGATTTTGAGATCATGCAAATCACACTGTGTAAGTGACTGCAATGATGCGAGGTATAATGCACTCTATAACCCGACCTGTACGGTCACTGTTACCTAAAAAAGGTGAAACCCAGTATAAATTTCATTATATGAACTGTATAAATATGAGCTGTAGCTACACTAATTGAGATTACCTGTCTTTGACTGAACTGTGTTTACATATGAGCTACCTGATCTCAGTTACAATCAATGAAGACATTGTGAGGTTTGTCAGTCAGTTCCTCTGACCAATAAGGAAAGCTATTCCAAGATAAAATGAACTATTTCCTAGACCTCCATGGACTGCAGTGGGAATTTAGAAACTTGAATGTGTACCAACAGCTACACAGGAGAAATCCCAAATTAGGCACAATAAATCCTGATATAACTACCCAAACTTTACTAGTTTGAACTAGTAAATAAATATTCCACAGTCAATGAGACCAGCACCACCTTGGAGCAATTCATCACATCTTTGGATGCATGATTATCAAGGATTAAAGGGATCCTGTCTCTGCTGATAGATATTCTCTGCATAGGGAAGGTTGAAGCTTACATTAGATTAAACAACAAAGGCGGATTTTATTCAAGACTAGATGTCTACATATGAGGCAAGTATCTCAGTTGCCATTACAGTTAAAAGGGTTTTTTCATTCAGTCACTCACTAGTGTCTACTGTGACTTGAAGCAATCTGAGCTATCATGCCTGGTGTCCAATTGCTATTCCAGATTACTACAAGACATACGCCACAATTTCCAGTCTGTTGAAAATGTGGCAATTATGTTAAAGTGCATCAAGTTTCTTTAGTTGTATATTTTGAGGTAAATAAATGGAGCACAATGGAAATTCAATTTTCTCTAAAAGAAAGAATTTTACCTGAAGTACATATGTAAGAAAAAAAGTATATTATATTACATTATCATGAAATAGAGAAATACAGCGTATGCATGTAAGAAGAAACGGGTCAGGAAAGGCTTTGATATTAATATTTACTTTCACACCAATGCTCTTCTTTCCAATTTATAAGTGTGATTCATAGACACTCCTACTGCCACCAGTATTTGCACAGAAATCTGATATTTGCCTTATGTATGGAAAACAGAGTATCTGATTCACCTTCTCTTAGAATCACAGAATGGTGGAAGTGGAAAAGGACCTCTAGGTCCATCTGATGCAACCACATCTCAAGCAGGGACGCACTGGGCAGGGTGCCCAGGAACATCTCCAAGCAGCTCTGGAAAATCTCCAAGGAAGAGACCCCACAGCCTCTGTGGGAAACCTGTGCCAGTGCTCCATTGTCTGCACAGCACAGAAGTTCATCCTGGTGTTTGGAGCAAACCTCCTGTGTTCCAGTGTGTGCCCACTGCCTCTTGTATTTGCACTGGGCACCACTGATGAGATTTTGGCTCTGTATCATTGAACATAAAATATCACTCTGGAGCCTTGATGAGCTGCTGTGCCCATAGACCAGTATCCTTGCTGAATCTTTTGAGAACCGAATCCTGACCTTGAATAAAGCATGCCAGGTTCCTACAGGAATAAAAAAGTGCCTCATGTGCCTTGAAGTTGAATTCAACTCTCAAAAACAAAATAGTTTGTGCTCATCTGCTGCTTAAATTTTGAAATGTATTTTCAATTGATATCTTGTATAAATTATGAATTATGAGCAATGTGCTTTACGAAGAAGACAGTATTCCAGTCACAAAGTACCATCCAAGTGGAAGGTCCCCCAGAGTCAGCAAGAATGACTAGAACATTGCAGCTCTATCATTGGAGTTTTCTGTGACAAACTTTTGCATTAACCATCACCCCTTTACAAGGTATCAGTTTTTATTTGGTCATTGTTGTTTAAAGCAGGAGAGGGCTTGCTTTTCTGTCCATCAGTTCCTCCTTTGGATGTGTCCTGGAAGAAAAGCCTTGGCATCCACAGTGACATTAAAATACGTTTGTATTCATTCCGAAAATTCTGGTTAAGAAGTCCATATATTATTGCATTAAGGCAGCTGTTGAAATAGGCCATGAAGTAGCTTACAATGAATAACCATTCAGGAACTTTTGGTGCCATTTCTGAAGGATTGATGGCTACGGCCAGTCCTATGAAGTTTAGAGGCGCCCAGCAAAAGGCAAAAATCACAAAAACCACAAACATGGTAAGAAAGTTTCTGAAGTCACTTGGTTTCAGTCTTGGCTTTGTTTCTGACTTGACTCGTCTTCTAACTTGAAGCACTAAGACCCAAATTCGAAGGTAGCAGAAGCTCACGACAGTGATAGGGACAATGAAATGAATTACCACAACTGCAATTGTATAGTAGGAGCTTGCAGTCTGAACAAATGTGCATGAATAGATGCGTGGATCATACTTCAAGGAGCCGACAAAAAAATTGGGCACAGTTGCAATTACTGTTAATACCCAGATTAAGGAGACATAGAGCATTGTGTTCCAACAGCTATACACTTTGTCATAGGCAAAGCTATGACATATATAGCAATATCGATTAATTGCAATTGCAGTGATGTTGAAAATAGAGCCTATTACACTTAGTCCCATCACAAAGCCACTCACTTTACAGTGCATTTCACCCAAAGTCCATCCATTGTGGAAAATAGCTAAGAGCACCAGTGGGTATGGATACAAGGCCACCACAAGATCAGCCAAAGCCAGGCTCACCACAAATGCATTACCTGAGGAAAAAGAGAGACATATAGACATAAGTCTGAAAGCAAGCATAGTTGTGAACATGAAGAAAATGAACCATCTTACTTTGTATATCTGCAACATTAAAGTATTGGTGATGTTGGCAAGCAGCAGGTATATAATATCATTAGGGTCTGTAGGGTAAATAATTCTATCATTCAGCTGAGGCCACCATAGAAATAGCTGCAGCAACATGATGTTTCAAATTGCTGGTGAATGTATTATACCCTCCTTTCCATTTTGTACTTTAATAACCATAGCAAGACATTACATAAGCTTGTGTTGAGATGTTTCAGTATAGCTAGCTCCACAGCTGGAGAAAAAGAATAAAAGGAAAGAAAAAAGTCTAAATTGCACTAGGTAGGCAGGCTATTACGTCACTCTAATCTATGAGTAGAATACTAACTGGCTTGAAATTTATCAAGGGGAAGGACATATAAAAACAATGTCTACTGGAATTAGAAGGATGTGCTGTTTTATATGTAATCTGAATGGATACACAATAGTCTAACAGAAATTTTCTGCATGAATAGCTGTACTGCAGTTATTTTGTCACTGCATTGACTAAGAAAGAGTGAACTGCCTTCACTACTTTCTGTCAAAAGGTATATTTAATTATCTGCACATAGTAAAAAGGTGCAATTGCAAGAGAAAGAAAGCATTTACATGTATGGAAGAAGCCTCTAGGCCTTTTGTTCTGATTATGTTCAAAGAAATGTTAGTGATATGCTCAAAACGTGCTGTCTTTAAACGATGAAATTTCAAAATGTTGCACATAAGAAAACTATAATAAAACTGTGATGTATTAAACTATATTACTATAAACTATTACTATATTACTATAAACTATATTACTATAAACCATTACCTGTGCGACCTGGTGTAGGGAACCTGCTTTGGCAGGGGGGTTGGACTCGATGATCTCTGGAGGTCCCTTCCAACCCCTACAATTCTGTGATTCTGTGATATTCATGAAAAATGAGAGCCTTACAATGACAAGTATTGGCTCCCCTGATTTTTATGAAATAATTCTATAGAGACTTGCCAAGAGAGCTATGAACTTTAGGTTCTTGGCTGCACTGAAGTGCAAAAGACATAACACCTTTTAAAATTGTGTGGGTATAACTATTTTTTGAAAAGAGCAATTAGCTGATTCATCTTAAAAATTCTGAGATTTTTTATCCTCATCTAGCAAAGTAGTTCTCAAAACATTTAATTTTAAACACAGAAATACTGCTATGAATAGGGATGCCACTAGTTGGGGGACAGAAAACGTAGAACCTTGTAGGACTACTTTTTAAAAAATTGCAGAATTTCACTTGTACACTGTTTTCTCCACCTGCTCCTGCAAGTCTACCTTTCTTAATTAGAACAAAGGAATGGGGAATTCTTTCATCTATTTTAAGAAAAGGCCATGAGCATCAGAATTTGCTCACACCAGCTAGGGAACTTAACATTGAATAGAATTACAAATGCATAGCCACAGAAACTTGGCTCATCTCAAGAACAGGTGGACAACTTATTTTGGATGTTTTCTTGTAATAAGTTTAGCATCCTTTCTTTCACTCTTTATGTACACTTTATGTAATTTACACAAGTATTTTCACAGCTATGGATAGCTGACTTGGTAAACCCCGATTAGAGCTATCCTAAAGAATATTTATTATCTTTATGATCTGTGAAGAAAGAATAAATAAATTAGGGAGAAGATTGGAGGGTAGTTGGTAACAATCTTCAGGTAAGTGGGTCAGGAAGGATATAATCCTTTCCCAGGTTTGTGTTGAACACAAAAAAGCTTTAGTTACAACAGGAAAGCTTCAGACTAGATATAGAGAAAAAGATGCTAATGGCATGAGGAAGGAGGTGCTGAACATCTTGCTTTGTGCCTGACGTTGGAGATAGTAAGAAAAAAGTAAATAAATATTTGTCAGTGCTGGTCTACTGGTCCTGGTTGGAGCACAGGAAGAATGAAGGAACTTTGAAGGTCTCTTCTAGGTAAACTGTGATAAAAGAGAAGACTGAAAAAGGAAGAAGGGCATCTTTATCAGAATGTGTTTACACCACAACAAGAATTTCTCTAATCATTTTTCCTCATACTCACGAGAAAGTTAGAAAACATTTATGTTTTCATGAGGATGTGTGCCAAAATCCAGTCTCTTGGGCCTCCTAGCATCAGCTTATACTTAAAATGTAATTATTTGGTTAAAATCAACTGAGCACTGAGCTCCTTCAATCATTTTTGGAAATTTACTGGAAGGTATATTTGGCAAGTGAATATCAAAACTGCATATGTAGTTTACGAATTCTTGGAAATTTCACCTGTATTGAATAAGGACAGTTAGCAATGAATCTGTCAAAAAGACAACATACCATTTCACGATGTAGAAGAAAGACAGTACATTACCTCTAAAGGTCTCAAGCAGTTTTTACTCTTATGGCTGTTTAAAGGTTTGGGTGTTATCACTGTGTGCCACAAAGTAAGATCCAAAGTTTTTGTCTTTTATGTGGCTGACTGTAGAATGAAGTTTAATATTTTATGACTGCAATTTAATAACCTACAAAAAACAGAAAGAAACTCCTCTAATTCATAAAAAAGTATGCAATCAAAATTTCGGAAAATCAAAGTTCTTAGATGCTTTTTAAGTGCTTTGAGAAAGTAAGTGTTTCTTGATACAACTAAGAAATAGCATTTTGAATGACCTTAACAACATTCACAGAGTAATCAAAGGGGAAACTTTGGGGTATCTGACAGAACAGAAACCACAGAAAGCTCCTCTAGTTGTAATGATTGTCTTGATAATTTACCCAATAGATAAGCCAGTAGATTTCAATTTCATGAGATTGAAGATTATATTCATTTATAAGAAGCGCATTTGCTCACTGGAATGGAAAGACTCAGTTACCGAAAATACCTACCAGACATCAAACATCTTGCCAAGGACTCAAAAAGTTACATATCTGTACTGTTTTAAATTTTGATAGCTAATCTGTCTGGATGGTTTGTAATCCTCTTTAATTTCTAAATACCCTAATCGAATAATCCACTGATGTTCTGTTCATCAGGGTGTACAAATGCCACAATGCCTCTTTCTCTGCTCCTGTCAAACTAGGAAACAGTTTAGCAACAATATAAGCAGAAAAGGGAGGCATGGCAGATGGTGAATGAATAGCGAATAACCTCGTGGCAGATTTTTTGAAATACCAAGAATTAATGACTATGGATATTTCTTCTATCCTTCCAGTTTCATATTCAGACCTCTATGGAAAATTTAGAATTACCCTTGCAGATTTCTTATTTCATTTTGTCTTCATGTGGAACACACAAGGAGTGCTCTGAAAGTAATGCTTCCTATTTCATTACGTTGGCTCACGATGTCAGAGGTGGATGTTGGTTGTAGGGCAGTAGAGGCTGACCCTTCCCACCAACATTCCATTACATTTTGTTGCCATTCAACACATTGCAGCAGAGGAGCAATCTGACAAAATGGCATCTGACGTGGAAGTACATAAGAAGTAAAGGTGTTTAATTGAATTTTCCCTGTGGAAAAAAAGGCACCCATTGACATTCATTGATGCATGCTGAACATTTCTGGAGACCCAAACAGTGGATGTGAGCACAGCAAAGTGGTGGGTGGTGCATTTCAGGAGGGGCAACAGTGACATGAAAGACAAGCTGTGTTCCAGGTGGCCATGTTGATTTTTGTGAGAGCAGCATGCAGGCTCTTGTTCATCTCTGGCAAAAATGCATAGCTAATAGTGATGACTACATAGAAAAAATAGTTTGTTCTTCTGCCAGACACTTGCTCCTGTATTCAAAATAACCTTAAAAAAAAAAAAAGTTTGGGAAGGCTTCAGATGGCTTTTTTGTTGTGATAGACATATAAAAACAGATTCTGTGCTCAGTTTCTAGACAGCCATCTAGTCAAAGGTATCAATTCAGGGATGTGTGGTTTCATTCATTCTGTAAGTTACTTACATATAAGCATTAAACATACAGCACTTTTATTTCCTCTGATTTTTAAAATGGTCACAAAATACTCAAGGTGAGTCTAACCCTTTAGTTCATTATTGTAACACATTAAAGGGGGTAAGTATGTTTTACTTTCTCAATCACAGCTTCAAATTTTTGCAAGTGATATTTCTGCAAGTGATATGCATACGACATCCCTCCTCAGCTGTGAAGTCACCCCTTCCTGATAAAAATCCTAATATTAAGCTCAGTATGAAATCTGACAACTTAAAATTTTTGTTTCTGACTACCAGAAATAGAAATCAAATATAACTTTTATGTTAATGTTATTCCCTTTATTTAAATTAAGTTTGTATAATTTATCTGCCAGTTAGGCCTTTTTAATGAACAATGAAGTAAATGGGAGAATTGCCATAGATTTAAAGGATCCATTAACCAGACCATTAGAGATATAATAAATAAAAAGCTCTTATTAATAAGAATGTGAAATACTGAAAATAGTCCCTTCTCAAACTCCACTTGTTCACAATTAGTGATTTGTAATAAAAACTACGCAACTTTTTTTGCATGGAACTTCTGTAGTGCATCTTTTTAGGTCCAAGTCTAAATTATTTCTGAGCTCCAGAGGAGGAGTTTCAAGGTCTGGATCAGATAAAACAGAAACATACTCAACTAAGAATAAACTGGTATAAAAATAACTTCATGAATCTATGTCTCCACTCACAAATTTATGAGAATAGCTCTGAGACTAAAACTAAGGGCCAAACTGCTCAGGCCAATCATAAGCCACAGATTCTTCTAAACACCATTCAGAGTGCTGAATTAAAGTGTGAGGTATAAGTTTTCCCATTCAGAGTTCAGGATTTTTGCAAAACAGATGACTACTGTGATGGAACTGTGTAGCTGTTACCACACCTGGAGTTTTTTTGTTAAATGTGGGTCTTTGCTATATCTTTAGCTGATAATCCTAACAGAAAATCCATTTATTCTGGCACATTTTCTGGAAGGATTGTATAA